ACGGCTGTGGTTAACATGCCTTTATTCCTCAGGCAGCCGGAAAACGTTCAGTAAGTCACAAAAAGTTTATCCACCGACCTTCAAATGAAATTTGAAAAAACAATGTTAATTTCGACTGCTTTGGAATATATTAGGGAGAACAATAAAGGTAAAAAATTTCAAGGTATTCCTTTCTTTTTTCCCCTTCAAGAGCTCCAGAAACTGGTAGCAGACAGAAGAGAGCGACCACAGAGAACAAAGAAAGAGGGTGTAAGTCAGGTGCAGAACAAAAAATATAACCAAAAACTTTACTGAAGGGAAAAAAAAAAAGAATCACTTAAAAAGGGCGGCGTTACCTTAAAGCTCTTTTGATGGTCTTACCCCTCCCGCTTGGAAATACAACTGTTGATTTGGAAAATTACGACTTTGCACTTTGGGGTGTTGCGGCCGTAATTCGCGCAGCCTGCCGAATTTCCAAACGATTCTCCTGTGTCGGAACGTCAGGAATTATGTATTAGCTGTTGGGCGATCGTTTGGGGCACCCTGGCCTCTGATTTGTGTCCGCTCTCTAACGTCATTAGCAGGGGCCGAACGGTAGACGATTTTTATGGTCCCTCGACGGGGGTGTACGAGGAAATAAATCTGTCCGAGTCTCATTCCAGCACGCGATTTTGAATGACGCATTCTGAGAGAATGAAGCTCCCAAAGCTAAGGAGAGTAGACAGAGTTACTTGAGATGTGGGATTTGGGAAGCAATAATCAAAATATTTCTACATTTCTGAATTATTTTTTGTTTCTTTTCTTCTAATTTGTTAGACATGAATCATTTTACATACATAGTCATTCAAAAAGGAATGTGTTTCTGAGGTTTTAAAAAACTAGTGAAATAAACGAAGACGCAACACTGATTTCCATCCCAAACCCAAATAGTTAAAAAAAAAAGTCCCACATGAACGAATCAATGTTAATGGCTAATATGAGTCCTGGTAAAAATATCAGTCAGCAGCAGGTAAAGTACCAAGTGAGGGTCATAGCCCGGGGTTGACATGGATTAACCCCTGATCCCTGGAAAGGTGGAGGGGGGGGAGGTGCCGAGGTGAACCAAGCACCCTCAGGGATGCCAGCCCGTAATTGTAGGTCTCAACCAAAGGGGGTCGGAACGACTTCGCTTTCCAATGGAATTTCGGTACTACCTAAGATTTCTTTCTCTCTTTTTTTTTTTACCTCGCTCAGGGGCAGCAGATCCCGACCGCCCTGCCACTGTAACAGCGTCTCCCCCGCCCCACTTCTGCGGTTCCGCGTTCGATACTACTTTTGAAGTACGGCGCCATTGCGCGTCCTGATGGACAAGAGGGAGGTAATAGAGTGAAGATAAATAAAGTAGGAGAGGTCGTGATATCGTTTGGTAAACTGTTTGTTGATTCCTCAGGAGAGGAATGTGCCGCCTCGCGTAAGCCAGGGTCGTGAGCATTTCGCTAACACGGGATTTTGCAGAATATAAATTGCACCGATTCATTGTTAATTTGTGTTTTCAATTATTATTGGGCACAAGAGCAATAGATGTCATTTAGAGCTGAAGCCCCTTCGTAGTTATTTCTCCTCTCTCTATTCTTGCATACGTTTTCAAGTGAGGTGAACGTGATACGTGAGTTGGGCATGTTATTGAATTTAAAGTTAAGTTACCCTGATATTTTAAAGTTTTCAAACCCTTATGCCAATCAAAATGGCCACGTAGAGCAGGCTGATGCAACGGGACGGGGTGTAGACAGGAGAATGTGTTGAACTGCGACATCAATAAACAATCAATCAGCAAAGTGTTGCCAAAAAAGAGTGAAAGTAACTGCACGAGTACTATGGATGATGGACCTCGAAATTTGGAACCATAGTCAAGTCGCGAGAACGACATCTCAGCTGACAAGAAGACGTTCTAGCCTTCGACTGATTTAACGTACATCGGCCACCTCTACACGGCGGGTCTTTAGCTGTTCTAAGACCTGGCTTCAATGATACGTGATACGTACTTGGTTATAAAATATTTACCAATTCCCCCCTAGCCACTTTCTAATCGACCGGTTGCTTATTAATTTCAAGCCTTACAGCTGTGTAAGGGTGACAGATCTCACAGTTTTCAACTTCGGTCAAGTAAAGATGTCAACACCTGAAATAGCATCCTACTCTTCAAACTTCCACACCATGCCAACGTAAGTACTTCGAGCCCCCCATGACAGATTTAAAGTGTATCAGTAAGTAAAGTGTATCTACGAAGCAGGAATACCGAAGCACCCAGATTTGAATCTGCCACGCGATAACAGCGGCCACGACTGCTGAAATGATCCTCTTCGTCTTGTGGTCCACACAAGAGGGGAATCCAACTTACTTCTCTTCTTGTTTTTTTTTTCTTTCGATTGATTGCAATGTGTCTAGAGTTGATAAAATTTAATTATTTGTTATTAATAATTTATTTTATATATTAATGCATATAATTGATTAAAAAATTTATTTTTTCACCGTTTCTTGTTCCCAGCAATCGACAAAATCAAAAGAATATATTTGGGGGCCGGGTATAATACGAGAATGGTGGACTTTTGATCTTTGACCCCCCTCCCCTTGAAAATTTCCTGTGTGTGCGCGCGCACTGCCTTCTTCACTGGGATATTTATTAGATACAGATAATTTTTTCTCTTGCTATTTAACGCCAAGAAAACAGTAGAAAAATAATTGTTTTATTGATTGTTTTTCGGCAACCTATTTCTGCTCAACACAGCAAGTGATTTTGAATGACGTTCAGGTGATATTTGAGCTAGAATTTCACACTCCACATTTTCACACTAGAACGATGAGTCCGGACAGATTTAATCACTTTGTATTTTAGAAAAGAATATGTAGAAAAATAAGGAGCGTTATTACTACATAAGCTATTTTTAAGTTTAATAATTATATCCTGATTTGTGGGTTTATCTATACTCAACTTAACTTTGCGAAAAATTCTCACACAAAACGCTTTGGGCGTTAATTTTGTAAGAACACAAATATATATAAGGATATAAAATGCAATATTTCATTTATTTCATACCAATATTAATGTAAGTCTAGATACGAAAAATTTGAATGTTAAAAAAGTATTTTTGAAGTTATACTTCTTTTGGGGCGTTAGAGAAATAGGATGAGGGTGAATTTTTACGATGCGCGCGCACACCGTCACGGATGCGAAATTGCTTTGTCTATAAATATACAGAACGGGACAGATCATTGCCGTCTTCAAAATTCTCAGGAAAATATTTCTCTGCACTTCCCTGAAGAAGGGAACACCCGGGCTCGAACCGGAGACCTCTCAAAGTGCAGTTGAATATTTTACCACTGAGCTATATACCCCGTGTCAGCGAACCTTTGTTTGATTTCCGTAGGAACGGATACGAAAATGCTTTGTCTAGAAATATACAGAACGGGACAAATCGTTCCCGCCTTCGAAATTCTCAAAAAAATATTACTCTTCACTTCCCTGAAGAAGAGGACACGCAGGTTTGAACCGGGGACCTCTCGATCTGCAGTCGAATGCTCTACCACTGAGCTATACCCCTAAATTAATGTCGTGACTAGTGTTATTGACGGCGGATCTCGTCATTTTAAGCCTTGATCAAGTGACGAGGGCGACACCTAAACTGGATCCTCTCTCTCCAAACTACCACTCCACGCCAACAAGAGAACATTAAACTTCGTCAGATTCATTATCTCGTTCATTAACCTCATCCAAAATCGCTTCCTCTACACGAAGGGTCTTCAGTGGCACCAAGACTGTAACCCGTGACACTCCGGACACGAGTTCGTGACCCTAATCACTAGGCTACCGCAGCCACAAAAAATTGTTATAACTACATTTTAAGTCACGAACGTCTTGCAATTTAGGACACAGAATATTTTTATTATGTGTGTGAGCTACCGCATTATAGGAATAAAAACAACCACAACAAAAAATTACATTGCCTCTTATTGAGTCTCTCGTACTATCTTTCCGTTTCGCTCGTTTAACACTTTGTTCACTTTGGAAATAAAATTTCCGATCCTCCCTTGCAAATAAATTCGATAGTCTAGAAATATCTTTTTTTTTCGAGATATAGATGCAATTATTCCTCGTGATAAAATGAACTAATTTTCAGGAGAGGTGTTATCGAACATTGGGCAAGAAATAAACTCGTGCCCTAACCTGATTGGAATGCCATCGAAGACGATCCTCAGGTCCTTCTTGCACCCCGGTTGGGAAGATGGATGGTTAGGAGCCCCGACGTCCCTTCGGATACATAAATACTTAATATTCACACCCGGGGGTAGAGAGGGATGCAGAATCCACAAACATCACGGTGTGCATAAATTCGGTACCTCAAGGCACTTTTCTTCTTTTTCTTTTTTCTAGACAGGATGTTTTTGGACGTTATCGAAGCACCCATGGGGGTCGATCCAATTTACCCCAGACTGTTCCATTGTGTCAGCTACCGGACTTTCTGAAAGACTGCTCTAATGGACAGGCGACAGTTGGGATCCAATGGGTACGATTCCTTTATAGTGAAGGGGAAGGTGTCCGACTGATAGTGGAGTTTCTTTCAAAAAAAATTCTGCCCCGATTGTTAAGGTTACAGAAAACTGAAGATGAGTTAGGAGAGATGACATCCATCCATTCGAAACTGTTTTGGATCATAAAATTGGGATTCAACTTTCCTGTTATCCATTTCGTATTCTGCGGTTGTTTGTGGACTAATGAGAACGAATCTCGTGATTCTGAACAGCGATCAAGTAACGAAAATAGCACCTGAGCTGCTCCTTTTCCAAACTTTTACACAACCAAACGTGAGGATTTTGAGTGAGTGTCCCACGAGGGCTTTTGGCAACGGACCACGTCATTTTGAACTATGGTCGGTCAAGTGACGTGGACGATAACTGAGCTGGCACCCCCCTCTCCTAACTACCAGACCACACCAACGGGAGGATGAGGATTTTGAGACTCGCAGGGGTCGGCCTCCTTACAGCTGTAGTGCATCAAACCAATCTGCCAATAGGATTCAGGATGCTATACAGTAGGATATATTTGAAACATTTCGACTCCCGCGACAATGCATGTAGAGTTAGGGAACAGAGATAAAAAATACAGATGTGTGTTTAGAGTTTTATTTTATATTAATTATGCTTTCTTTAAAGATGTTTTTATTAACAAAAATAAACAACTCAAAATATACATAACTATTCCTTCAACATAAATAAAAAATTAAAAGTGCACACATAATGTTTAAGAATGTTTATTAGAATAAGAAATAAACATAAAAAAAGTGTGTATGTACTTATGTACGCACGTAAGAAGAGAGTTCTACTTCTTTGGCGTAACAAGATTAAAATCTTTTTAAAAATATTGAGCAAGGCAATCTGGGCCAAGGACGAAAGGCGGTCACGAGCAGAGTTGAACGATGTTAACCATCAGTCAATCGGACCAGCCAAACCTGAGATAATCATGATTTAAATAAATTTAACCACCCTCGCACAGGGACAATAGGACCAATAACATGGGGGTTATCAGACTGTATCTAGAGATGAGGTGAACCGAATGAGACCTCAAACTGAATGTCTCGGAGGGAAGAATCGTTCCTGAGAAAATTAAGACAACCGCCTGAAGAGCCCCCGAGTTTTGGTCATTTTAAAATAATTAAAACAATTGAATAAAAAGAAGCAGGGCACCCAGCAACTCGAAACTTGGCTTGGTTGTGAGGAAACACAAGAGGAGTCCATTCGAATCGGTCCGGAGTCTGTAGTTGCAAATGGGGCGGCGCTAGCTCGGGAAGGAAAAAGGAAAGTAACTCCCCCCTGGTAAGGGGAACAGCTGTGACATAAATGGTCACGTACATCTCAACGATACACAGAGTGGTAGCTGATCCCAAAGTTTCATCCTTTTATCTCTGTAATATCGTGATGTCATCAAAAGATCGAACCCCATAGGAATAACATGGGGATTCTTATTTTAGTGATAATGCCCCCGCTAGGCCCACTATGTACACACGGATTATAACAGATGAAAGAGCTTAATGAGAAGAACCTATGGTCCAAGTTTCATTAACGAAGCTCAAAAATCATATGGTAGCTAAGCGGGATTTTAAAAAATTTAAAACTTAAAAAAAGATAATTTTAAAATGTTAAATATATATGGGTGAAGAAATGGGGCTATTGTCCTGAAAAAATATATCTAGGATGCTCATTGGGAGAACAATCGAATCCTGTTGGTGCGGTCGACCAGTGGTAGAGCATTCGACTGCTGATCGAGAGGTCCACGGTTCAAACCCGGGTGTCTCCTTCTTCAAGGATGTGAAGAGAAATATTTTTTTTTTTTTTTTTTTGAGAATTTCGAAGGCGGTCTAATGAATTCACACAGCTCTGGGATAAACTATTTATATCTCAGTAAGAAAATCATCAAATATATATATACTATTACAATTAATTAGCAAAAGGTTCCACAGATTTCGAGTCTCTTTCGCTGCAATGTCTCATATCTCTCGCATTAAATAATGTCCTAAATTGACACTGTAGAGGAAAGTCCTACACATAGGATACGTAAAAATGGTTCACTCTCGGTAATTCCACACCGAGTCCGGGTGAGTTCACTGGCTCCAAATCCGCCTTACTTCGCTGACTCAGGTATAGCTGTATCGCCAGTCTTTAGCCGGAGGGGTCTCCAATCCGGTTCCCTCACGTAAGGTTTCTCCGGTTCAGAATCCGCCGTACTTCACGGACTCACTATAGTTTTCTCTATCGCTGGAGGGACCTCCAAAAGCGGTTCCCTCAAATCCATTCCTCTTCGTGCTCTCTCGCCTCCTCATTCCTTCTTTCATCTCTTGTTCTTAGGCTGCCCTTGTCGGTCTCGGCCCATTTGATCTCTTGCTCGATGGCTCGGCGCATATTGTAAGTTTTCAGACGCGCTGTCGTCGCCAAATCGTGAGAAAACGAAAGCACAATGTTACGGCGTCTCCTTTTGATGGTCGGGATAGCCTGGGAAAGAGGGTCCAAATCTTTGACCACCCAGTTACGAAATTCTTTCCCAGCAATTAGGGAAATGTCTGCAATTTTCCCACGTCTGTCGGCCCCTACTCTTAGCAATTAGGGGGAAGAGACCGGCTTCATCCCAGCGGGAATGATCTGTCCCTTTCTGTATATTTTTAGACAAAGCATTTTCGTATACGTTCCTACAGAACGCAAAGCAAAAGTTTGCTGACACGGGGTGTATAGCTGGTAGAGCATTCGACTGCAGATTGAGAGGTCCCCAGTTCAAACCCGGGTGCTCCCTTCTTCAGGTAAGTGAAGAGAAATATTTTCCTGAAAATTTCGAAGGCGGGAAACATCTGTCCCGTACTGTATAATTCTAGACAAAGCATTTTCATATCCGTTCCCACGGGATACAAAGCAAAGATTTGCTGATGAGGGGGTATAGCTCAGTGGTAGAGCATTCGATTGCAAATCGGGAGGTCCCCGGTTCAAACCTGGGTGCCCCTGTCTTCAGGGAAGTGAAGAGAAATATTTTTATGAGAATTTCGAAGGTGGGAATGATCTGTCCCGTTCTGTATATTTCTAGACAACGTATTTTCGCATCCGGGACGGTGTGCACGCGCATCGTACTCTCATCCTTTTTCCCTAACGGCCCAAAAGAAGTATAACTTGAAAAATATAACTATTCTTCAATATAAATAAAAAATTAAAATTGTTTATGTATTACGTATTATGTATCTTTTAAGAATATTTATTAAAATAAGAAATAAAAACAAAATATAAGTATTCCTTCAATATAATTTAATAAAAAAATTTTAAATTTAAATGTGAACCTTGTCCCTGCAAAGTTGTACTTCATATCGCAATATCTGGGGTATAATTTGTGACTTTCAATTTGACGCATGATTCTGGATGTTCAGTTATTAAGCAACTTCTTTGTGAACTCAAAATATATTTCATATGAGAAAAAATGTTTTCACATATATATGTAGAATCAGGGACGTCTTAAGGTATGGGCCCAGGGCTTCGTCTCGTTCTCGACTCAGCCTTCATAAGATAATGATTCGAATAATTTCAACATTCAAATGTTTTGTCCGGTTGTTTTTCGGACGATATGTCCACTAGCTTCTTGTGATGATCTTCGTTCACGTGTACCACATACACCATTCAGTTAAAAAGCGGAAGTCGGTCGTGCGATTGTAAGACAAGTTCCTTTATTTGTTTCGGGTTATTGTTTGTGCTAGTATTTGACAACGTACTGTTTACTTTTGAGGGGCCTACATTTGTGTAGGGGCTTCAAGACTTCCTTGTGTAGAACCAAAAGCATGCAAAGTTTTTCAAACAGTTCCGGCAATGAA